TCCGTTTATCTAAACTCATTATGCTCTGCTTTGACCCACTACATCCTATTCGTACTTGATGTACCCTGTCTCTAATGAGTTTCCTACTAGGATGATTAGAGTTCCATCTCACCCATTAAGTCTTTAAAATCTACTTGCTACGCAATCCATCCGCCTTCATCTATTCACCTCCTACCACCCAACACCTCCCTCTTCTCTCATCATTAACCTCCTCCCTCTGCAACGTTTCTTCTCTCACACTTCCTTCATTCCTGTCCACCTTCATCTTCGTCCCCGTCTTTAGTAAATGTGTGTTGGCACAGCTTCAGTTAATTAAGAAAGACATCCACCCTAACAAGCAGGTCGTCCACGAAGCAATGTGGGCGTCAAGCATCAGTCGCGTCACACATCCAGAGCTGAAAACAACGCGTCTCTCACTAGCACCTAAAAAAACACCCCCTCCACATTCATGCAATGTGTTGACAAGCTTGGCCAGGCCTGACTGTAACAGCTTGTCATGTCCAGGCCACTGCCCTTGGCTTCAACATGACATCATTCGCACCCGCTGTGACCTGAAACAAACCGGACCACTGCCCGGTTAAACAGTAGGAACCTTCTTAAAAGACCTTCCGCTATCAAAGTGGAAGACAAAGAGAAGACACTGCCCATAAAGGCCTGAGATTTGTTCTACATTTACGCTACACAGACAGTCACACAGAGCTGTCAAAATATTTTACACATTCAGAAACTAAAGCTAAGAACTCCCCATAAAATTTGAATAATTACTCTGCATGCTGCAAACCAGATGTACTCTTAAGTTATCAGTTTTATATCATCATAAGAATAACAGACCCTGGGCTACAGTCAACGGAAACTGGAAGCAGACATTATCAGAAGTCTGTGGACATCAGACTAAAACCAGGCACAGCCTCAATGGGAGAAGGAGTGAGGAGAACTCTGGAAAATGATCAAGGGACTTGTTGTTTTTTAAAGATTCAGACTGAAATGGCCCAATAATACCCACTGCAACAAAGTCAGAAAACAATAGAGGACAATATGTAGCATACGTACACAATACAGCACATCCTCAGAGCTGCACATTGATAACACATCACAACTGCCAACTACACAAGTGCAAATCCTGACTAAAAATTGAGTGACATCAATTGTACAAAAGAAAATGGTGAAAAAACCTCCAAAGGTTCAGGAAAACATGCCTGGTAAGGGGGGGAGGGGTAATACTCTGGAAAGAAGAGGAATAAAAGTCACTAGAAGAAAGACAAAAAACGTGTGTGCAACTGACACTTAGACAGGTGGAAAGGTAAACAGAGATAGTGAAGATAGGAGCAGCGATACTGAGGTTCGATACATGGGTTTAAACATCCAAAGCAACAGTGCAAGAGTGGATAAGAAGAGAGCGCACACAGGGTGGAGCAGCTGGAGATGAGTGTCAAAGAGATTTGTTACAGAAGCATAGCAACAAGATTGAAAGGAAAGTTTTATAAGATGGTAGTGAGTCCTGCTGGTTTGGTTTGGAGACGGCACTGACAAAAAGACAGGAGGCCAAGCTAGAGATGTTAAGATTTTCACTAGTCGTGACCAGAGTGGACAAGATTAGAAATTAGCACATCAGAGGGACAGCTCAGGCTGATTGATTTGGAGACAAATTCATAGAAAAAAGGTTGGACCTGTTCTGGGGAGGGATAGTGGATATATTGGAGCTGCCAGGCAGGAGGAAAGGGGGGAAGACCACAGAGAAGATTTATGTAGTGAAGGAAAATGCAGAGGGTTGGTGTGACAGAGGAGGGACAGGGTGAGATTATGTGCTATGGTGATTCCTAAAGCAAGCAGCTGAAAGAAGAAAAAGATGACGATGATGAAACAAAAAAAATGAACAAATAAAAGCTGCAAATGTGAGGTGTTTGGTGGCAAATCGATAGCTGAATGGCTGCAAAAGGCAACAAACAGGAACAGCTTCCAGCTGTCAGCACCGAGTCTCAGGTTTAATTCCAGACTGGGTAAAATGTATAGCCCTGTTCAATTTCCCAATGATTTTTGTCTTTCTCTAATAATGGCACAATTCCATATAGTAAGTATACTTTTTACTACTACTGTATACAACATTATTCAAAAGTATCTAATCTTTTGCATAAAAGACACAAAAAGACCTGAAAGCAGCAAGAATAGTGCCATAAAAATAGATGACGCTAGACTCTGATATACTGCAGGCCAGTCTATAAATATCACCAACACGAGCAATGATAACAAACACCCTAGTATGAGTCTGAAGGCCACCTGATGCCAAAAACGCAAACAATCCTCTTGCTAAATGCATCATTTAGACGTAACCCCACTACCCTGCACAGCACCTCCCGTGTGACATGTGAAGAATCAAAATAGGGTGTCTTTTCTGAAAATGTGCACGACAGATGAAGGAAAGAGCACCAAAGTCCTGTGAGCCTTTGTGCATGAAGCTAAAGCCAGGTTGCTGTTCTGAATCTGAACCTCAACAATCAGTCTCCTTTCCATCTGACAGCCTTTTAAGTGAAATTATGTCCAGCCTGTCCTTTCTCCAACTACCCCACACCTTCCCATTCTCGATCCCCTTATCCTAGTCTTTCGGTTTGGCCGGTCAGCAGAGACGACCGCCCGTCAGCCTCTTGTCCTTCAGTCAGACTTGGCTGCTCCACTATGCTGGCCTCCAGCTCACCTCGTCCGGAGAGACCAAAGCACAGCATGGCAGCATCCTGGCACTAACGCACACACTCATACAACACACAGAAGAGCTTTAATTCAGACAAACGCTTCCTACTTCACGAGTGTGTGTCGGACGGCAGGAAGCCAGCGAGGTAATAGGATGTTCCTTGCTCGCTTTGTAGCGTCTCAAAGAGCTGGGCTAAAGCCAAAGAGTGGAGTAAAAGCACAAAGCTGCACTGAAAACGACGCTGGCTTCACTTCTTCCCGTTTCATTTAGGGACGACACCTAAGAAGGTAATACAGGGTGAAATACAAACAAACAAAACTGCGATTGGGGTGACTTAGAGTTAAATTCTGCCACCCAAATGTGAGAATTTCATTTTTTTTAATCTGATTGAGTTTTGAACTGCTCACATTAGAATATAGCAAAATGTAGCCAGTAACTTAATAGGTGAAGCAGCCACTTACCCAACTGTACATAGAATAACAGTTTTTTAAGCCAACTGTAATCTTTTAGTTGGACACAGTTTTATTGTTATTATTATTCTTAGACTTTTATTTGAAATCAGAGACTTCAATTTTAGAATAAAACAAAAACAGAAAATAAAAGCACACTTCCTGACATTAGAGGGGCAGTCATCTGTAAAGCACAACAGCCAATCAACAGTTTTATGTGGTGTCTTGTGGAGGATAAGCCCTAATCTGACATCAGACAGCCAACACATTAATCCCATCAGCGGACTCGGGGATTATGACGGTGTGTGTCAGCCAGCGTCTACAGTCAGCATATCGGAAGCGCTTCACTGATGGTATACAGACTGGAGCATGTGACAGTGTATCTCATCATTCATAATTTTCTGTTACTCATATACAGTACACTGCTTGGGCTGTGGTAAACACAAGACACAGAGCATTTCATGTAAAACCCCCACACAGACTTACTGCTTTCCTTTGTTATATCAATGCACTTCTGCAGCTCACAAACTCATCACATCCATAACATTAGCACAGCGGATCACCATTCATTCACATCTCTTTGTGATTTTGATCCACAGAAGAAAAACTGAATGGGAAACTCTCAAAGCAGACTCGAGGCCAACAAACCCCTGACAAATCATATGTGAGTCCATGTGTGCTTTATTTCCCAAGTCTTTTCCCCCCCTTTTTTTCTTTTGCATCTCAGACAACCAAACAGATCTCTCTTTGTGGGTAGCAGATGATCGGGTTACATGTGAGGGCTGAGCAAGCAAAAAGAAAAAGAAAAGGAAAAAAAATATGAATTTATTTTAAAATGCAGATAATAATCACTGAGGTCAGCCGGAGGAGTATCATCTTGGGGAGATGAAGTGCTCCCTCCTCCTCCTCCTGCACACGCACACACATATACAGAGAGAGAGGGGGGAGTGCTTCTGGTAGCCTTTCTGGTTACACAGCTCGTAATGGCCAACACCCAAAAAAAATACAGGATGGAGTCCCACCGCAAGATTAATTTAAGCTAAAATCTGCATACACCGCAACTAAGAAACACTATTTTGAGACAGGGATGGTTAAAAAAAAATCATCTTCTAATATCAGCTGCAGCTCGTGTTTGACACACTTGTAACATTTAAATGTTACTCACATTTCAGCCCTAATTTCACTATAAAGGCAGGACACACACGGCGTGAGCTGTGTGTGTGTCTATAATAACCATGTGTTCCTTCCAGTAACATGGAAGTTGGGACAAAAGGCTGGAGAACTGGCAACGAAGGGAAGCGTTATGCCAATTAGTAAGTGAATCAAACGGCTGTGAAGTTGCGATTCGTTTAAAAGGAGACCGAGCAGGACAGTGGTCTCTCTCCCCTCCACCCTCCAGCCGGGAGTCCCTGCCAGAAACTGGGTGTAACACATGTAAGAAAACCGTCAACATCCAACTTAGTAAGTTGCCAGACAAATAAACATTTTTTTTTTTCAAATCAATTTACCACCACAGATATTATTAAAGCTGGCAAATAGCCGGGTGGTGGAGGCAGCGTGACCCGCGCCCCGGCTCGCTGTCGTGGCCGTGTGTCTGCAGCAGTGCCTGCCTATTGTTTCCTCCGCTGTCACAGCCGTTAAGGTGCGCCTCGGATTAGCTTTAGCTTTAGCCTCGCCGGCTACAGCACCGCAGCCGACCAGGCTAGCACCAGCGCCTAGCCGCTCTCCGCGACACAAAGCTAAAAAGGTAACACAGCACCTTTCTTCCGCTCTATTGCCCCAAAGTCGCGGCGGTGTCCGGGCCGAAACACAAAGAAAACAAGCCCAGCACTTTCTCACAAGCACACTTAAAAAGAGTTGAAACGTACCCAGAGCTCCGTTCCCCAACTCATTGCGAAATCCTCTTTCTGAGTTCTCCAGTACTGGAAGCAGTTTTTCCCCCGCTCAGACTCTCCAAACGGCCGCCGGGATTCGGTCCTTCTGACTGTCTGCCGACTGAACAAACACTCCACCTCCTTCACCTCCTCCTCCTGAATCAGCAGGGACGCCCTTCCAGGGGCCCTGGACCACAGACAATCTACAAAGAGAAAAACGGATTTATGTTCATTGAACATTTTTAATCAGGTCTTTCATATTAAGTGTATTTACCTGAAGCCAACAATAAAGAAAGAACAGAGTAAAGCAAAAATACGAATTAAAAAAAGACAAATTTTCAGCAGCTCAGTTTAATTCAAACACTGATTAAATGTATGAACTGGATACAAACTCGAGTATAGAAATGGAATGAATTATTTAGTCGGCATAATACGAAATGCTGCAGGAAAAAATTACAAAAACAGATTTTATGGTATGACAATGTAATACATTTTAATTTCAGTCATTTTCATATTTCACGAAGCTCTCTTTTGGCGCATTTGTTGACTGTTTATTTAAAATTAATTAAAATAAAAAGTTATTTACATTGTCCCATTTTACAGGCCATTAAACCACACAATAATGAAAATATTAGTATTAACAGCGTCGTAAAGTTTGCAAAGTTTAGATAAATATTTTAATTTCGTTTGTCTTTGGTGTATTTTAATTATTATTTTTTTTATTTTTTTATTTGTCCTTATCTCTTACCATATTTCCATCATTACACATAATTCATATAAAGCCGGCTGTTATTGGTGTTAATAATAAATTCATTTATAATTGATTATAGTTCCTTTTATTTCAAAAAGTCATCTTTAAAGCTACGTGTTTGGATAGCTTTATTTTTCTATTGTTTTGCTATTTTGACATCAGCGCGTATATTAAAAGTTCATACGAGGCAAAATATTTATTTGAAAAGTGTTGAAAAGTATCAGAAAAGTATTTCTGATGACCTAGAGCATTAAAAACGCTTTAAATATAATCCGTTTACAGTTTCTTTAATAATGATTTAGTGGTTCCCTCTAGCGGCCAATATGAATTATTACAGACCTTGATTTATATCTATAATTAATAAATAAATATTGTAAATTTTTGCAAGTTGAACCTGGAAATAATCCAAAAGGTCGAAGAATTTAAATACTAAGTTTAAAATGAAAAATAAATGTTTTTTCATTCCTCTCTACATAGTTGCAAGTTCTGCTGCATCAGACTGGCTCTTCACAGGTTTGTTGCCATAAATCAGCTCGATTTATCATATTTATTTGCTGTTAAATTTGATAGTAACTCACGTTTCCAGCGAAAAACTTTATTACATAGGCATTAAGTTTAAACTGCTGGCTTGTATCTTTCTGTAGAAGATTAATACCACAGCAGGACAAACTGCACCACAGAGCTTGGCAAGAACTAAAGGCCAGTGAAAACTAAAAATTACTGACCTCAGCATGAGGCCTCCTTATTGCTTACACAGATACAGTGGATAAAAAAAAAAGTGTACACAACCCTGTTTAAATGCATAATTTTTGCGATGTTAAAAAATGTGATCACAATGATTCAAAAGTTTTCCCACTTTAATGTGACCTGTAATAATTCAACTGATGAACAAATGTGTTAGGAGAAAATAATAATTTTAATAACAAAAAATATTTTTTTAAGGTGTATTTTTGTCAGAAAACACTTCTGTCCTGCAACCCTATCACATAATTTCGACATATGGAAAATACATGACATTGTTGCCACGTGTAATACACAACTAGTGCATGGCGAGTCCCCTGGCAGCCTCACTGACCAGTATTCATCTTGGCTTTAGAGTTAGTTTTGGGGGGCATCCAGGTTTTTCGTCCCATGTTTTCTCCACTGGGTTCCACAGTATATCCAATGCTGTGGAAATTTTTTGTACCCTTCTCCTGCCTGATACCTTTAAACAATGATATCATTTGATGCTTTTTAAATCCCTGCTTGCCCTGCAGGGGGTCTTTGTTTATCCTTCAAGCTCCCAGTTTGGGGGTCCCTCCTGAGTGCTCCATTTACCACGGGGATCACTATCGCCTTCACCCTCCGCATCTTCTAGCTCTTCTCTAAGTCCTGTGTGTTTCTCAAGCTTCTTGTGTAAGTTCTTTCCAGCTACACAGGTCCATAGGAGTGAAATTCAGTATAAATGGTTGTCTGTTTCTATGCTAGCCCTATAACAGCCTGGGGACTTGTCCCAGTTGTACTCTGCTTCTCAGCTTTGGAAGCTGAGATAGGCTCCACTGCGTCCCTGTTTCTTCGCTCAAATACTGCAGTAATTTAAGACCAGCAAAAGCAACAAATGTGAAATGTTTTATTGGCACTGCACAATACATGAAACATTGCAAAGGCAAGAGGCAAAACAAATTGCCCATGTCTAGTCATAAACCTATTTCAGTAGCATAAAGGCACAAATTACACTTATAGTAAAAGTAGTAATTATGGGAGCTGCTGTGTGAGTTTTTAATAACACCGCATGATATTTTTTACACCTGCAAAATAATAAGGAACTAAAGCTTTGAAATGAACGGAAGAGAGTAGTGTAGGTAAATTTTATTTGCCTCCAGTGGAAGTAGGAGTAGGAGTGGAAGAAGCAGCATTACCGTCTAATCCAAACTCCGTAGCAGTTGGTGGCGGAATTGCGCCACCCTACAGTATACCGCGAGGAAGAAGAAGAAGAAGAAAAAGAAGAAGAAGAAGCAGCATCTGGAGGGGGATTGAGTTTTTGTTCTGTTCTGATTGGCAATGCACTTACGAACAATTAAATAATCTGGAATTTATTTGTATGACAGATATGCACCGCTACACTGCAAGGTAAGAGGTGTTTATATGTCCCCTAACTCATTGTAGCGACTTCCACAGTCGCTAGAG